TGCAGGCGTTTCTAGGCCTAGTGAACTTTTATCACTCCTTTTTGCCCCTCAAAGCGGCCGTGGCGGAACCGCTCCATCGCCTCCTCGACAAGTCGGTGCCATGGATCTGGGTTAGAAGCCATCACGCACGCTCCAGCCCCAAAGTCCAAAACGGAGCTACAGGCGTTCCTAGGCCTAGTGAACTTCTACCACTCCTTTTTGCTCCTCAAGGCAGCCGTCGCAGAACCGCTCCATCGCCTCCTTGACAAGTCGGTGCCATGGATCTGGGGGCCACAGCACGCCGCGGCATTCCAGACAATAAAGGACCTGTTAGTTTCCAACGCGGTCCTCGCTCATTTCGACGAGGCCCTTCCCGTGGTGCTGGCGTGCGACGCTTCTCCCTATGGGGTCGGGGCGGTTCTGGGGCACAGACTGCCAGACGGTCGCGAGGTTCCGGTGGCCTACTACTCGCGGACTCTATCTTCCGCCGAGTGCAACTACGCGCAAATTGACAAAGAGGCCTTGGCAATCGTGGCGGGGGGAAAAAGTTCCACCACTACCTGAACGGCCGCCCGTTCACGGTTCTGACGGACCACAAGCCACTACTGGGCCTCCTCGCACCCGACCGGCGAACCCCGCAGATGACCTCACCCAGGGTGCTCCACTGGTCTATCTTCCTGGCAGGGTAAGCGTACACCCTCGTCCATCGGCCCGGGAAGGCAATGGGCCACGCCGACGCGCTGAGCCACCTGCCCCTACCCAGGTGTGACCTTGCCCCGGCCCCCGTGATCCTGGTCACGCGCCTGGAAGCCCTCACGGAACAGCCGGTCCATGTCAAGGAGGTGGCGTGCTGCACCTCCAAGGACAAGATTCTGGGGAGGGTCTTTGACTGGGTGGTGAGGGGGTGGCCCGAGGCCAAAGGGGACCCCGACATTACTCCATTTGCAAACAGGAAACATGAACTCTCCACCCACAAGGGTTGCGTGCTGTGGGGAAGCCGGGTGGTCATCCCCTCACCCTTAAGGGAACGGGTCCTTACCGCCCTGCATGAAGCACATCCCGGGGTGGTGCGTATGAAAGCTCTGTCCAGGAGCTACGTGTGGTGGCCAGGACTGGATAAGGACATCAAAGATGTGGTCAAGCGATGTCAGCCGTGCCAAGCCTCGCGGCCGAAACCACCTCGAGCGCCAGAGAGGGCATGGGAATCCTCGCACCGTCCCTGGTCCCGTCTCCATCTGGACTTCGCGGGACCCTTCCAGGGCCAGCTGTTCTTCATCCTGGTGGACGCATACAGCAAGTGGCTGGAAGTGGTCCCGGTGCCCTCCACCTCTTCGCAGGCCGCAATCCGGGCCATGTGGAGGATCTTCAGCGCCCAAGGGATCCCAGACACGCTAGTCACCGACAATGGAACGGCGTTCACCTCCGCCGAATTCCAGGCCTTCATGAGGTACTATGGAATCCGCCACGTACGATCCGCCCCGTTCCATCCCGCCACCAACGGCCAGGCCGAGCGCATAGTGCACACGACGAAGGACGCGCTCCGCCGCCTGGACTCCACCAATTGGGACTATAAACTGGCGGCTTTCCTCTTTGGACAATGCACCACGCCACACACCGTGACAGGCCGCACCCCGGCCGAACTACTACTGGGCCGCCGCCTGGCCTCCCGAATGGATCGGTTACACCCGGATCGGGCACCCCCTGAGGCCCCGGGCACCGAAACGTACAAGGCGGCCAGGGGGTTCTTTCCCGAGGATCCGGTGTACGCACGGAACTACGGCCGGGGCCCCATTTGGATTCCAGACCAAGTCGTCCGAGTCAAGGGCCCTCGTTCGTATGAGGTCTCCAGCGAGGATGGCCAGATCCTCCACCGGCACATTGATCAGCTGTGCCGCCGCACGCTACCGCTGGACCCAGAGGATCCAGACGAGGACCCGGAGCCTTCCCCATCGGCCCCCCTTCCGGAACCAGACCCACAGCCGCCATCCCGGAGGGAACCCGAGACCCCGCGCCCCGAGGAACCAGCCAGTCCCTCCTCCACCGACCCCTCGCCGGGCCCGGTCCACTCGGCCCCAAGGGCCCCCGAGACAGAACCCATAGCCACCCCTGAACCTCGCCGCTCGACTCGCCCCAGGAAGCCACCAGCGCACCTGAAGGACTTCGTCTGTGGGTGCATAGCGAACCAAGGGGGGAGGGGTGTAATGTATTCAGCCTGACATGCCCGGACTTGCCCAGGCTGGCCAGGCACAATTCCTAGGTAGCTTCAGTCGAAAGACAAAGGATCCGAAGGATCCTAGCCGGCCCAATCAAAAGGGCTAGCTTCCCAGCCGGGAGACCAATGGTTGCCCGGTTACTGTAAATAGCCTATCGGGAGTAGGGGGTGTGTTTAGGTGTGCTTGGTGGCGGGTTTTCTGAATGCATATAAACCGGCCTGCGAGCCGGTCAGTTGTCTTTGTCCTGAACTAAATAAAGGTATGCTTAGCTGAAATCACTCATCTGTCTGCATACTTTTCAAGATGGGACCGGGGGATCCCCCAGAATTATAGCTCAACTCCACACTCCAGAGATCAGTCCCCCTGGAGAAAATGGCTAGCATCCCTACCCCCCATCCCCTGCCGCCGGTGACCACAGGGAAACCTGGTAACCTTATCGGAGTCAGGGTTCAATTAAGGTGTTGAAAGTATAGAACAGTGATGGCGAACCTTTTAGAGACCGAGTGCCTAAACTGCGACCCAAAACCCACTTATTTATCGCAAAGTGCCAACACGGCAATTTAACCTGAATACTGAGGTTTTACTTTAGAAAAAACAACTCATGCATTAACTTAAGATGATCCAATCAGAGTAAGGAAAGCAATCCCAAATGCTTTCATTTACTTAAAATTATTTGGCAGAGAATTTGACACTTTAATGATGGTCTGGGCCTGGCTGGACTGATGGCACGTGTGCCCACAGAGAGGGCTCTGAGTGCCACCACTGGCACCCGTGCCATAGGTTCGCCACCACTGGTATAGAAGTATATCAAATGGCTTGTGAGGTTTACAGTGTTAGTAGGAAAGGGGGAAAGGAAGGAACTGCCTGCTTTTCTAGTGTATTCAACAAA